TAGGTTCGAGCTCCCAGCTAGTATGGAGAGTATCTTACAGGCGCTGCTTTCCTCCAGGGAGGCGTGCGGCAGCAGGGGGTTGTTGTGGGCTACTCGCTTTCCGTAGAGCATGTGAAGACGAGGGACGAGTGATGCCGGCGGGCAGTGGACCCTCAGCTCCTCTGCCGTCTCCATGGACTCTGTGGGGTCCAGGAAGGCATCCCTGTTGTGAGAAGGGCTAATGGTGAGTAACAGACAGGGTGCACACAGCAGTTACAGTCAAATACGTCCTACTTTTCCTCCGCCAGAGCACTGAGAGCCGGGCTGACCGACAGGACCCCGTACACCTCCAACGTGTCGTTCAGTTTGAAGCTGTCCCAGTCCTCGTACACCTGGACAGCACACACCGTCAGCTCCTGCTCTGCAGCGGGTAAACCTGCAGATAACCAGCTAGTCTAGCAAACGGAACACACCTTGACTAGACAGGAGGGGCCTTTCTCCCCCGGCAGGGGGAAGTTGAGGTCGAGGTGGGAGGCAGATGCTGCCTGGCTGGAGGGAGCCTCCGTCTCCTGACGTTTACAGTCGCCATTGCCGTGCTGCTCTGTCGCGCTCTGAGAGCCTGAAGATAAAAGTCAGAGGATGGAAACCAGAACTAATGCTTTCCTGGAGCGGGGCGATTATAAAAAAGACCAGGACTAGTTTACTGCCACCTCTGGGAAAGAGGAGTAAAAAAAAAAAAGACTTTATCCTCACATTCTGTTCAGAAGATTTACTAAACAGAAATATTGGTGTGTTGACCTGTTGGTCGACCTCCAGTTGGTGCAAACAGAGAGAGAGAATCAGGTGTTCAGGACGGAGGAAGGAGGCTGATTGTGTGCAGATTTGGACACATGCATCTAATCTTTAACCTCTGGGTTTATTTTCAGTTTTCTAGCAGACAACGTTCACATTTTGGTTAAAAATATCCTGACAGGCCAAAAACAAACATGAATTCATACATTCTTTGGAAGAGGAAAACTAAAAAAAACTGCAGCAGCATCACAGATCCTCTACCGTGCTTACCAATAACCATGAAGTCAATGGTCGATTTTAGAAGTTCAACTGCATTGGTACAAAAAAATTGCTGTAAATAATTAAGAAAAGCAGCTTTGAAGTGTAATTATTTTTATTTTAACCATTATTCTTTATTTTTAACATAATTTAGTCATATATATATATATATTCATATTCACATTAACTTACATGCCTGGTCACGTTGTACTTTATTACTGAATGCCATGTGCGTAACTTGCGTAAAAAATGTAATGTAGTTTGTGCCGCCCAGCGCTAGGCTCTGGTGCTGCCTGGAATCGTTAAGAGAGCCGCCAAAATGGTGCCATGGAATTGGAACACACGGAACCGGTTCTGAACAGGAATCTGTTTTTGATTCCCATCCCCATCTGGGAGCGCTCCGCCCTTATGCTCGCTCATTCATCTCCACGACGGAAGAGGAGCACCTGTCTCCAGTTGCTGTAGGCCGCAGCTGACACCTCCGACCTGCCATGCGTAGGGCTGCAACTAACGATTATTTTAAAAATCGATGAATCGGCCGATTATTTTTTCGATTAATCGATGAATCGGACAAAAAATATTTTTTATATTAACCTCTTTATTCCAAAATAAACATTTTAGACAGAACAAACAAGCACACAAGTACAGGTTGCTCATTAACTGTACTGGTGCAATATGAAAAATAAATGTTTGTGTTAAAACTACGCAAACTTACATGAGAAATTTAGCTGTACATCTACAAAATATAGGCTACTTTGCTTCATAAAGTGCAAAAAAAGACATTTTTGTTTTTAAAAGCCCCTAAGGGGTTCAAACAATAGGCCCCCCCATTTAAACAAATGAGGTTTTTTTAGACTAGAAGAGTTCTGCCTTTTAAGACAGGAAAGTATAGCAGTTAAAGTTGATGCTTGAGAAAATACTGAACCATAGAGATAAAAATAGCCCTGTGATTCAAATTATAAATTGTATTTGGAATAAAAATGAGAGAACTACGGGTGCTAAAAAACACATCCTCCAAAGACAGATATTTACATGGAAATGTGGCAGATAATTAATTGACATATTACTGATCTTGCTGGATTTTATTCTGCTTTACTTCCATAAATTGCAGGATCTTCTTTACTTTATCTTTGCCAGAAGATTTAAACTTTAAAAGCCTTGCCCTCATAATTTGCAAGTTAATTTATTTATAAAGAAAATATAAACGCTGCTTAAGCTAATTCAAATGAAATTAAAAGTAAAATAAGTAGCCACGTTACGTTACGTTTCCCCACTTTAAAACGAAACAAACATGGCCGCTCACCCTGCTGATCAGCTCTCTTCACTGCCATCGAAATCGATGATGAAATTCGTTGCCAACGCTTTTAAAAGTCGATTTTTATTGATTTTATCGATTCGTGGTTGCAGCCCTAGCCATGCGGTATTTTTGTTAGCCTTTGCTTGGATGCAGTTTTAGCTGCGATTTTGGCCTGGTGGGACCGGTTGTCGTGTTATCCTTTATTTCTCTTTAATAGTTTATTTTTTGCTGTAGTTCGGTACTAGCAGGAGCTTCGATCAATTTAAACTAATCAATTAAAAATAAGGTCTCTATATCTCATCGGAGGTATCAAGAATTTTGATTTCCTAATGCAGATCATCAAACAAAGGTCAATTGTAAAAGGCTATTTGATTGCAATCACATTTATTTTAAAGCTTTTCCACCATCTTTTCCAGGGCAGCCATTTTTTTTATTTTTCCTGAATCTGTAAATTGTTTTTCTATCAGTAGGTGTGGAGCTCATGAGGCACCTGCATGCGTTTCCTTCTGCTTCTGGGGCTGAACTTCCATTTCCTCGTCCTCCTCGTAGCTCCGCTTCTGTCTGCTCGGCACGTACGACGTGGACGGGACCGCCCTCCCTTGGTTACTCGTGGTGGCGGCGTATCCGTGCGGAAGGATTAAGGAAAAGTCACAGTTTCAGGAAGGTTCTAAAACACAGAACCTAGAAGAAAAGGTCGGATTTCTCCAACGCATGCGTCAGGATATGTCCTTAGCCCACTGGTTTTCTCCAGGGATGGGAACGCAGTAGAACGTTTGTCTCTCTGCAGTTACTGTGCTTTTCGAGTTTAGATCCACCTGGAAATAAAAAAGAATCAACGTGTCATGCTTTATTTTTCATAAAATCGAAGTCTAAAGCGAGGGATTCTTACCCCGGACTCTGTCACATCTTTGTATTTGCCGCATCGCAGCATCTGGGGAGTGTCAGGCAGTAAAATGAGACGACAGCATCATCAAATGCAAAAGAAGCAGCAGCAGAATATGCAAATATCTGGAGGAGAGGAAGAGAGGAAGCACACACTTTGGCCTTTGTGGACGGGTCGACGGTCTCGTACACTCCCATGTAGAACTCCGGATCAAACATGTCTTGGATTAAACAGCGAAACTTCACCAGGCTGTTGGGCTTCAGGTAGTGCAGAGGGACGTCGTTCAGAGACGGGACCTGCGTCCAGAGAGAAGGTGACCGTGTGTGTGAGGAGCAGGTGTGCTAGAACTGGGCTGGCTTTCAGGCGGTTAGCCGAGCAGAGTTACCAAAGACTGGGCTTCTTTCTCCTTCAGCTGCTCTACGAAAAACTCCACCGCCTTCGCCTCCCATCCGGAGCTCTGACCGTTCTGGGAAGCGGCTGTGAAATCAAACAGAACGACTTTATTCCAGTAATTATTCTCTCTCAGTGTCCAGCTTGTGTTTTCGCAATAATGTAAAAAAATGTAATTTATTTATTTTTATCTTTAACTTAACAGCGATTTCATTCATTTTACACTGAAATATATATCTTCAAACATTTCATTTATTTTAACAATAACGGCTTAATAAGATCAACATCATCATCACTACGAAGACAAGTCAAGGCAGAAGAGTGGGGCTGTTTGCAGAGTGCTGTGTCCAAATATATGAATGGAAAGTTTAGTGGAAGGAAAAAGTGTGGTAGAGAAAAAAAAGGAATAAAGTGACGGGAATTACTGCAGCCTTTAGAGAACTATAAAGCAGCTAATTTCAGATTTAGGGGGAAATTATCAGGGTGTGAACCTCAGCTGGAGTCAGAGCTTTAAAAGCTGTAAGGAGACGGACCAGACTAAAACATCTCCTGAACAAATTTCACAATTAGCAGGGCTAAGAACAAAAGGTAAGACGGAGTATTAGGGCCAGGTTAGAGATTTATCTTTTTTATTTTGAGAATAAAGTCGTAACATTACGAGAATGAAGTCATCATACAACAACCTGTTTCAGAAAGAAAGCTTGGAGCTCCGCCCACAGATGACGGCCGACCAGCTCCACCAATCAGCAGCCTGAGTTCACTTTGACATCCTGACCAATTTGTCAACCCGATGCTAAAGTATAACTTCACATGATGCTCCACCTTCCTCATTTTAGGGAAGAAAGGGCTTCCTGTAAGAGCTG